CCCTTACCTAGCCCTGCGCTGCCTCCCAGCTGTGAGCTGAACGCTGCTGTCTGGGTCATGGCTGCTCTAAGGCTCCATGCCAGGCTCTGCGTGGTCCTCCTGCCACGCAGCGAAGCGAGAAGAGACCCTGGCACTGGATAACTTAGAGGCGGGGCTGGATACACTTCTCCCAACAGCTGCGGTGAAAGGGGAGGTGCTGGGCGGTGTACCTCAGCCCCAACCCCCAGAGTTGCCATGGCCAGGCGGTTGGGAACTGCTGAACTATATTATAGTTTTTGTGATTTTTGTTTTATTTATTTTTAAAAGTATTACTGCAACATTTCTATCTCTCTGTCTCTCCTCTATGTTAGGTAAAAATAGGCTTTTGGGGGCCCATGTAAATATTAAGACACAGCAGTATTTCTGTGTTATTCCCTTTTTTTAATACTAATGAAAAGTGCCAATCTGGTGGTCCTGGAGACTAAAATATTATATTTATTCTGAGAACTGGCACCTGGTGGGCAATGCCTTCACATTTCCCCCCACACTAAGCTGAGGAAACTGTTTCTAGGTCAATGGCAAAACCACCCCCAGACTGATTGGTCTGGGGGAAGAGTGGTCTTGTATATCCCCAAGTTTCACCTCACTTAAAAATTACTTGCTTACAAAATCAGACCTAATAATACAAATGTGTGACGACACACTATTACTGGAAAATCGCTCACTTCCCATTTTTACTTATAGTTCTACAATAAATCAACTGGAATATAAATACTGCACCTACATTTCAGTGGATAGTCTATACAGTGGTATAACCAAGTCAATTATCTGTAAGAAATTTTCATTTGTACGGACTTTGCTTTTGTTTTATATGTAGCCTGTTGATGTTTTACATGTAGCCTGTTGATACAGTTGATGTATCCCCTGAAAGACTTCTGTGTAGCCTCAAGGATATCTGTATACCTGGTGGAGAACCAGTGTTCTAGGTGTGTAATGCAATGCCCTTTGAATAGGCAGGTTCATACACAGGCAGGGTTTCTTGCACCTTCCTCCAGGGGTGCTAGAACCCTTTTGATAGTGGGAGTGCTGAAAGCCAGCTAACCAAACTGTAAAGCAGCAGTCCCCAAACTTTTTTCTTCCTTCTCCCCCTTATCTTTGTCTGCGCTCCCACACCCCAAGATCTAAGGCTGGGAGCAGGGCCATGGCTCTGGGAGGGGGACACACAGACAGGAGCAAGGAGGCTGAGCTTGGGGCCTAGGCTTTCCAGCTGTCCGGTTTTGCACCATAATGCCCGGTTGAAAAGGGACCTTGGGGGATCTGATGGGCCTCTTGGGGAGCCTCTTTCTCTCAGCATGGTCTTACTGCTCGAAAGACTGCAAGGGGCATGGCCTGCTTGCAATCTCTGCTAAGGCACAACAAGTCCAACAGGGGCCGTGCCCCGGATCTCTGTGTCTGTTGTGACATGCTGCGTGGGCTAGTCAGGCGGTTTGCACAGCTCCATTTCTAAAGTACAACCAGTCACATACTGTGTACCCTAGCCTTCTATCAGCCAGAGCTGTTTTGGCCTGTGTGTTGGCATTTAGAATACATG